TCTCTCTCTCTCTCTCTCTCTCTCTCTCTCTGACTCCTTGCTGAACTGAATCGACACTTACTAATCAATCCACTGTCCTACACCGTACGAAACTCTTCACTTTTTTTCCACCATGAACTTTCACACTCTACTGTCTAAAATTCCAACCTCTATTCAACACAAATTCCCACCCTTTTTCGCTCCTTAAAAAAAATCTTCTCCCACATGCATTTTCAGAGAACAACTTTCAGCTGAGCAGCGTCCCAGAGGCGTGTCGTTCCCTGCCCTTGTGCCCTTGCAACTCGCCCAGCTGCACCGCCTACGCACGTCCCTCCTCCCCCTATCACAGAGGCCCCTCCCCCTACTCTCGAGGCTCCTCCCCTTTCCAGCGGACGCCAATACCATCTCTGTCAGCAGTGCACGCCCTACAGCCACCGACATACCCTCTCAGTAGTTCAGTGGACGCTTTACCTGGTAAGTGAGCAGTTTTATCTAACGTTGCCCGTTTCAACACAATTTGGGTTTTTTAAAAACAAAACAACTGGTTACACTTCCTAACAACCCGTATCATAACGCCCTGTAAGAAAGGATACAGCACGATAAGAACTCTTCGGACAGTTAAGATTCTCACAAACTGGTTTAATCCCAGACTGGCCTTACGAAAGTCTAATGTGTAAGCTAATGGTTCAACGGCATGCCCATCTGCTTCTTGACTGCTGGAGTAAAACCTAATTAGAGGGCGTAGTTCTGAGAGATTTTAAACATATTATTTAAAAAAGGGGGAACGGGGTTAAGTGCCTTGTCATAGACAAACATATAGCTTATGGCGTCATTGGAATCTCCAGCCCGTATTCTATCCAACTAAGTGCAAACGATTCTGGTAAACATTGTGAGGACATAATATTATTATGAATGAAAAACAAACAAAAATTAAAACAAAAGCTAAAGATCCCCACTTTAAAAAAACCCCAACCCAAACAAACAACAGCAACAACCCAAACTCCTTGTTACATTTAAAAAGCAGGCTTAACTCTGTTTTCCTCATGATGCTTAATATCATAATCGGGACACGTATCCTTCTTCTAGAACTAAACCCTTCAGTTTGGTTGATTTCAGTTTGGGTTAATTTTGCATCGCTCTGTCAAATTAAGGTTACTCCGAAAAAGGAAATTAATTGGGTGCTGTTATCTCCAATCACCAATCGGACTCACAGCCCCTATCCCTACCCCCT